AGCTCAGTTGTTTAAGTGGCTGCTTCCACAAAGCTGTCAGCCTCAGGTTGCTGTAGTTCGATCCCCACAACACTCCAGCCAGCCAAACCACCCCTCAGGGCATTCAGATCAAAAAAAAAAAAAAAAATTATTTCTGGGCAGGGGCTGGGGACATAGCTTGGCAGTCTTAAGTGCCTGCCTGCCAAGCACAAGGATCCAAGTTCACTCCCCAGTACTGCATGTCTTTCTGGCCCTGGAACCCCACGCACCAAGCCAGCCACAAAACCAGGTGTAATGGCACACATTTGTAATCCCAATACTATGATAATCCCAGCACTAGAGAAACTGAGACAGCAGGATCACTACGAATCTGAGCTGTGTAGCGAGACCCTGTACCAAATAGAAAGGATTTTTTTTTTTTTTTTTTTTTTTTTTTTGCATGTGGAGCTGGGAATCGAACCACAGTATCCTGTGCCTGACTGCATTTGCACAAGCAGGCACTTAAACAACTGAGCTAACAGGCAGGACCCCCTTGTACCAAATAAATAAAGATTTTTTAAAAATTATTTCTTGGCAGCCAGGGGTGGTGGTTCACACCTATAATCCCAGCACTTGGAAAGCTGAGGCAGGGGGATCACCACAGTTAGAGGCCAGCCTGTGCTATATAGTTCAAGGCCATCCTGAAGTATATAGCAAGACCTTCCTTGACTCAAACCCCAAAAAACTGGGCAATGTGCTGTCCATTAATTGTTAAAGATTCAGCATTTCCCTTTTCAAATAAATATTTTAATTTCAAATACATTGCTGCCTTGAAACTAAGGGTTTTTTGTTTTGCTTTAAGGAGGAAGGCATATTATTTGCCTTAATTAAGCCAAAAAAAAAAAAATGCTTTTAAGACCTAGTGTACATGTATTTAGATGATAGCATTGTTACTCTGTTTTAAAACATCTACTCAGTGACACAGCTGAAGGAAATGATAGATTATATGGATTTATTTCTTAATGTAACAGTGTGGTCATAAATTGTGCTGCTGGGAACCAGGCTAGGAAACCTTGTCATAGATGTAGCTTTGGAATTATGAGATCCTCATGCTAATTCAAGCTTCAGGGTCCAGATCTGTGTGGCCTGTATACATTGCAAAGTTCCAAGCTCACTGGTGGTCGTGTAGTTCTCTGTTCCTGAAGCTGAAGTAAATCTCTCCTGTTCCTCACTCCTACATCTGTACAGGTTCTCCCTAAGAATATAGATTCACAGTGCTTAAAAGTTAGAGACAAAGTACAGACAGCTCGGAATGTTGATATTTGAAGATTTGGGTGGAAAAAGTTAGGTAACACAATATTTAAAAACTTACATAATTTTTCATAATAAGCATGGACACATTTTTATGTAAAATGCAAAATTTGAGTATGTTTTTAAAGATAAAACCAAAAACTGTTGATGTCATCCATACCCAGTACAGCCACTGCTCTCCATCCTATTAGGAGGCGTAAGTGGAAACAGAACTGCTCTGATGTCGGTCAGACACTGTCCCCGTCATGGCAGCTTGCTGTGTAGTAGAGTGGAAGAAAACTATGAAAATGGTTCATGTTTCCTCAGGTCTTTCATTTGAAACCGGGTTTCTCTCTCAGAAGTACTTTCCTCGCACAGTTTCTACTCGTCCTTCACAGAAAAGCCTTGACATTAATCAAATACATAGAAGATGATACGTGAGTAAATCCCTTCTAAGGAAGAAAAGGCTTTGTATGTTGTGGGGTTTTGTTTTAAATGTTTGTTTGTTATTACAATTTTTCTTTTCCATTATTTGCAGGCAGAAGGGGAAAAAGCCATTTAAATCCCTTCGGAACCTGAAGATAGACCTTGATTTAACAGCAGAGGGCGACCTTAACATAATAATGGCTCTGGCTGAGAAAATTAAGCCCGGCCTGCACTCCTTTATCTTTGGAAGACCTTTCTATACTAGTGTACAAGAAAGAGATGTTCTAATGACTTTTTAATATGCAATTGGTTAAGTGTATCTCATCACCATGAGGATTGCTGTTACAGTAGTGCTGTCGTGTGAGAACCGTCACTGTCCCTGGGCACATCCTCCTCAGCAATTGCAGCTAACACTCATTTCACTGCAGTTGTCCCAGAGCTGTATAAGGGGATGGTGCACCACTACACTGAATGCCTCTTTTGTGTATGTGCTCTTCTCGAGACTTATGTTTACAGTTGATGTTAAATTTTGCTATCTTTTGTAAATACAATAATAGGTTACAAACTTTACCACAACTACTATGTTTTGAAATTCATGATTAATGGTTTACACATATCAAGGTGAAATTTGAGTTAGCCTTTACTGATATAATAATAGTTGACTTTCCATCTTCACTTGTTTCTTGATGTACAAGATTACTGTGATACCTTTGTAGTCACCTGAAAATTGGAGCATTTAAAGTCTTCAGTTCCACAAAAAAGAACTGGAATATCTTGAGTATAATTTCAGTTTTAGGAAGAAGATATTGAGAAAGCAGATTTTATTAATTAAAATTTATCATTATTATTATCATCATCATCATTATTTCCTACTTCGTTAATAGGATTCAGTCTGTGTAGAAGCACCAACCAGTTACATGTAGCCAGTGATTATGGTGCACCACAGCATACTTTTTGTTTATTGTTGTTGTCAATATCCTATATTTGGGCAACATCTGTCCTAAGAATATAGAAATTGGATTTTGTTGTTTCCAACTCTCAAAATAATTTTCATCATTTTCAAGCCAAATTGAAGTGTGTACATCTTGTTCCTTTTTCCCCTTAGAAAATATAACTTACAGTTATTCAGGAGAAATTGAGATTTCACTGCTTAGTCATTTCCTTCCTATTTACCTCTTGCAGAATGTACCATGTACCTAGTTTGGCAGTTATTGTAACTCCAAGACTATAAAATTCATCAAAGAATACACCAATAAGATCTTTGGAGAACAGAGAAGTTTCCTTTTTTCTTCCTTATGTTCTGCCCATATATTTGAAGGTATTGCTGGAGAGATAGCTTAGTAGAATAAGCTCCTGCCTGGCAAGCACAAGGTCCTGAGTTCAGTCCCCAGTACTGCCAAAAAAAAAAGAATTACAACTTGAAGATATTGCTACATTGTCTGAGTCACTTAAGAACAGCAGGACAGACTTTACTGAAGTACTATTTTCCTAGGTGCTATACCAGCAGAATTAAACGGTCCATTTCTTTGGTTTCTTTAATGTGCTTGAAGTTTTGTTTTGTTTTGTTTTCTGGCTATAAAATACCTGATTTAAGGTAATTCTGTGCTTTGAACAGTGCTGCTATAGGACTGTACACAAATAAAACTTTTTATTTAAAATTGTGCAAGTAATATGAAAGGGAAAACATGTTTATACAAAAGGGATAAAAGTGACAGAGCCTTTCTGCCCTCAACTACCAAGTTTAACAAGAAAGACGTTCTCTTCTAAAGGACACAGAATAGTTTCACCTCATGAATTGGAGTGATCTAGGCATCTTAATTCTTAAATGTACACTGACTGTGATGACAGTGGCTAGCTGCACATCTCAGTCCTAAACAATGCTACTATTTAATATCCCACACTCAATGCTTTTACATAACAGATTCTTATTTAAGCGCTCATTATTTTCTTTTGCTGGTTTATTATATTATTGTATAGAATATAAATTGTACAGTGAAATAAGTTATTAAAGCATGTATAAACATTGTTATATCTTTTAGATGGAGAATTTTAAATAAAATATCTTTAAAAATTTGTCTCTTTTGTTTGTTTAGTCAAAGCACGACTATGATACAGAATACTGATTAGCTTCCTGTTCAGCTGACAATTGTGTTGGAACTGAACTTTTTTAATTAAAAAAAAAGAAAATATATTTCTTGTATGATTATGGCGTTTTATACGGTGTCTTACAGGTTTTTTTTTAATTTTCTGGTTAACTTCTAGGATTGAATTATAATTTCTCAAATTATATATTAACATTTCCAATGTAAAATACCAGTTAGGTAAATTTTTCTGAAAATTACTGATATAATATTAATATAACCTAAACTGAAATTACTCATTCCAGGTATCCAGTACAAGTTTCCAAAGTACAATTACAACCCCTGGCCTGCCATGCTGGCCCCGCCCCCAGGGCACACTGAGACACCCATTGAGACTGGGAACAGTGGTGGGCGCCTGTAATCCCACCTCTTTGGAGGCTGTAAACAGGCGGATCACTACAAGTCCAGTCTAGTAGTGAGACCTTGCATACCCTGTAGACTCTTCCCTAAAATACAAAAAAAATCCACTTCCAAAGTACAAGTCAAGAAATATAAATGCTTTAATGTAGAAAACAAGAAGGTTTAACATTTGCATTACAAGGAAAACGTTTCATTAATAAACATGGCAAAAGGGCCAGAGAGGTAGCTCAGAGGTCTAAGCACCTGCCTAGGCAAGCCCAGGGACCAGGGTTCAATCCCTGGCATCACCTGCCATGCTGGCCCTGCCCTCGGGTGCGCTGAGCCAGCCACCAAGACTGGAAGTGGTAGCGCACACCTGTAATTCCAGTGCTGGGGACACTGAGACATGATGATCACTATAAGTCAGAGCTATGTAGCGAGACCCTGTACCAAACACATAAACATGACAGTTGAGAGATTACATGTTCCTTCTGGCTTGCATCACTGGTGGTTGTATGTGCATGACTATCATTTTGGGCAGCCAACCAATTACACATGTGTGGCCCTGTCATGAACATGTTAGAGTGCAAACGATTCATTGCATTAGGATTTGCAAAAACAAAAATTCATATGCTATGAAGTAAAAGATGATATATTTCTTTGGTGATTTCTGTAATGCTATAGATTAAACAGTAAATGTTACCTTCATGTAATATTTTTGGTTTTGAATAGAATTGCGAAAATGGCATTTCTCTTAGGATCTACAGGGTTTAGCATAAGGTAGCAAAACCGTTAACAGCTCTTAATGAACACAGCCCGATCCATTGGACTTTCTCCATCTTTTATCACAATAATATTACCAAGCTGATATTGGTTTGATCCTACCTACGAGGAAACTAGAACTTAAAGAGGGGTGATTTGCAAATCATGTGCACAGGGCCTCCTCCCCAGCAATTACAGGAGTTACAGTGCCGAGTAGCACCTGGCCCAGTCTGCCGTGGTATTCAGCGCTGTTAAGTGAAAGGACAGAAAACAAGTATTATTTTGATTCTTATTCTAGTCTTAGAGTGTGAATTCCAACTATGTTTGAACTTCCCCAATGTTTTTAATTTTTTTATTTTAATAAAATAATATTTAATAGTGTGAATGTTATTAACATGAATTAATTTTACATATTAGTACAGTTCTTTTTTTCCCCATAATTTTATTTAGAAACAAATAGCAATGAGACAGTTTCAAACCAAATTGGTAGAAGAGTTTCAATAATTAACACATTGCATACATACTGTACAAGAAGCGGACATGATATCCTATTTACAGACACTATTAGAACAACTCCCTCTGTTCATTAAGAGAATATAACTATATATTCTAACAATTTTGAATACACAGATACAAAATGGACATTCATCTGTATCTCTTTTTTTGTTTAGTTCCGTTATTTGAATATTATAGGTGTGTTAACTTAGCAAAATGTTCTAAAAGAGTCCAGTAGTCCATAATAGTATTGGGTCTTCCACTTCACTGGCAATGTCAGAAACTGTTGACCTGAGTCCCCTACAGTTCAACATAACACCATGGCTTTACTTCCTATACTTTGTTTTTATACTTTTCTGCTGGATGGTTAAGACTAAGATAAAGCAAGACCTATGCAACAAGAGTTGTAGCTTTTGGGTCTGATAAGGT